GTATTTATTAAAGAATACATATATTTATGTTTAAATAAATATATACATAATTATATTTTTGTGGTACTGTGGATTCAACCCAGGGTCTTAACACAGAGCTATATGCCTATCCTCTTTAAAGTAATTTTTTTTATTTGGGGCTGAGATTTAGCTCAGTGGTGCTGTACCTGCCTCATAAGTGCAAAGTCCTGAGTTGGATCCCTGGTACCCGAATAAAAAAAAAAAAAAAAAAAAAAGAAAAGAAAAAGAAAGAAAGAAAAAAATTTTTATTTTGAGGTAGGTTCCTGCTAAGTTATTAAGTTATCCTGGTTGAGCTCAAATGTACAATCCTCCTGCCTCAGCCTTTCAGAGCAATGGGATTACAGGAATGTACCACCATGTCTGGCTCTTGAATATATTTTAAGTACTTTTATTTTCTTTCAGCATCCTATGTTAAATGAGTCTTAGTAAACAAATGTAGTTGTAATAATTAAATCTACTGTCATATTAATTATCATTTCCTGGAGTTTAGTCCATTTATGTTGAATTGAATTATGACAGATTCAGATACATTCCTACCAAAATAGTTTAAATTTTTACATATTTTTCTGTTTTTTTTAAATTCAGATTTCTTCTCCCATCTTTCCAGTTTTCTCTCTAGTTTTATATTGTGGCATATCATACATGGTCTAGTATATACTCCTATTCTGTTTGGCATTTATATTTAAATTATAAAAGTCCTTTTTAAATCAGTATCTTTTCTTTTATCCCCAAAATGTAAGAGCCTAGAGGTTAAATTATATGCTCTTATTCAATTCTATATCCCTACCTGAATAGTATCTTGTGTATGTGAGTGCTTTTAAAGCACTTGTTAATGTTCACTGGTTAAATACATTCATATATTTAAAGTTCAATACAGGCATGGCTCATACTTAACCATCATTTCTGAGAAGTTCCTGTGGATCTTGGGGTATAATTACTATGCACTATTTGCTTGTTTCTAGTGTATTAGAATGTCTTGCTGGAAAAGAAGTACTTTGAGTGTGAAGCTTAATTTTTACCACATATAAGATAGGAATTGTTTTCTTGTGTGTGTTATTTATTTATTTATTGGTTTTTTGAGACAGGGTCTCACTATGTAGTTGAGACTGACCTGGAACTCACTATGTATCCCAGGCTGGTCTCCAGGAATTGTTGATATTAGAGGTTGTCACAATGTAGGCCCAAGTGGCCTGCTGAATATTCATTCTTTATGGGATTTAGTCCTATCTCCCAAACTTTAAACTAGTATTTTGTGAAATATTTTCTGTAACTTGTGCTTCTGAGTCTATGTAACTTTGGGCAACTTTTTTTGCATTAGAAATGGAAAGGACAATGAGCTGCTCTTGGACTCTTCTCCCTCCTCTCTCCTTTTTTGGGCTGGAAATCTAGGAACGAGGCCATAGCTGGGTCTTCATGATTAGAAGTATGAATGGAGGCTTGGATATAATCTTGCATTCAAATATATGCATGGGATTTTTGTCCAAAAGGCTCAACATTAAGTACAATACCTCTCATGCATGCTCCAATAATTTTGGTGCCAATACTTTAGGGCTCAGGCATTTCATGTCCTACCTCATCTAAGAACCTTCTTGTGGATCTCCCAGGTCATGTTGATGCCTCCAGTCTTAGAATTCCCTTACTATGAAGGCAATATATGATGACAGTTTGTCAGAAATTTTCCTGGTTTTGGACTTGGATATGCTGTGTCTTATTCCCTGGCTGGTACCATCCATTTGTGCCATTCTCTTAAAAGGCAGACAGGATTGTCCAGTCCTCTTATTTAGGGTGGTTTTTCACTTCTCTTAGGCCATCTCTTCTCTGCCTCTTCTATTTTATTCAAGGATGATGGAAAATAGAAAAAAAAAAAAGAACAAAGAGAAGTGATACTATTCATTGCCCAGCCCTCTCCCCAACTACTTCCCATCCCTACCCCTTGCCAGAGGCAAAGATATTGAACAGTTTGAGTCTTCAATCCCCTCTTAATTTGATGTGGATCTTGGGCCTCTACTTCTTCACCACTAGAAGAGTGTATTTTCTACACCTTGAACAGGAGTCAAAGTTCCTGCCCAGTGTTCTTGAGAGGGTTTATTGGCAGGGCTGCACGGGAGGGATTGTGGGAGACATCTGTCTTTTCTATTCCAATATACACTCATTCTTTCAGCCTCTTCACTTCTCATCCAAAGAGGGTTTTTTTTCCCCATCCCTTTTTGATATCTTACTCATCTTTCATTATAGCCATGTCAGACCCTCAGTACATTTATTTTAGTTAATTTCCAACTATGTTTAAAAGTATAGATTCCAGTGTTAGACATTGTCCTGGTTAATAGGCTTGAAATTCAACATTGTTCACATCTCTTTCCATCAAGAGAGTAGGTGAGAGACACAAACATTTATGGAAAAATATGATAAATGTAAAGGAGATATGGACAGAGTGTAGAACCAAAAGATTTTCTTTAAGGTTAATGTGATGCTAAATATCTCTTTCCCTCTCAGTTCTTATATTAACCAAAATGTCCTGAATTTAGTATATACTTCATAAATAAATATTTAGGATTGCTAAAATAATGGAACAAATGTTATAGAGATAGAACTTCTAATAATCTATTAAAAAGAGTTGTGCAATTTTACTAATTTAAACATTAATTGTGTAATACTGACATGATGGCTTTTATTTTACATCAAGCTATAAAATAAGAACATTAAGAGATTTGGTGTGATTCTACATGTGGCACTTAAGGGAAACACCAAATATTTTCTTAGGAAGACACAAACAAGCACCATTTTGACAAAAGTGGTCTTGTGTAAGTAATTGGAATCAAATCTCATAGAGGCTGTGTAGAAAGTATCATGGATGGCTTTATATCCAGCAGCCAGAAGAGCTTCTAGCTGACCTCTGTGATTGCTACTTAGACTAGCTTTAATTTACCTCTTAATTTATGACCCAATAGAAGGAGATAAAACAACAGATTTATGAAGTTTGAAGATGGGACTTAATTAAGAGACATAACCTGAATAAAACCAGTAAGCATTCATTTAGCTTTAAAAATGTTGGAAACAATTGTAGAAATAAAAACCCCAATCAAACAAAAGTGAGATTATTGTCTATTAGAAAATCGAAGATGATACAGAATTCGTAGTAGTAGGGCAAAAATAAAGTGAAGCAGCAGGTAATTTGGTACTAGTCTAAAACACCATAGCCATGAGATGAATTTAATATATGAAATTTTACATAACATATTAGAGGGTCTTATGCAAACTTTTGAAATAATCTCACAAATTTTATCTCAATGCAAAATTTATTTTAATAGAAAATCAGTGAAAAAAATCACTCGGCAGGATTGCCTTATAAAGAAACAGTCAAAATTTAATTTATATATTTTGCATTTTATTTGATTTTGACGAAATTTTAGACTTTTAGGAAAGCCATACAAATAATTCAAAGAATACCTACCTACCTTTCACCCAGATTTTTCACATGTTAACATTTTACCACATTGCTTTATATTCTCTTTGTATATGTGCCTTTTTTCTTGAACCATTTGAGAATACATTAAAGAGATTTTGTCTTTTACATTTAAGCATATGAGAATTATGTTCTAAAAATGACATTGTTTTACAAGTACATTGTACAAATATAAAAATCAAGAAATTTAACACTAGTATTACACTATTAGCTAATCTGCAAATTTTATTCAAATGTTATCACTTTTCCTAATAATGTCCTTTTAAGTAAAACAAAAGAAAAAACATTGGAACCAGAAATCATATTTAGTTGTCATGGCTTTTAGCTTCTTTTAGTCTCAAAGGACTCACTAGTTTTTCCTTGTCTTTCATGACCTTGATTTTATAAATGAGTATAGGCCTTTTGTTTGACAGAATGGATCTTGATTTGGATTTGTTTGATGTTTCTCATTATTAGATCCTGATTATTTATATTTAATATTACAAAATGATGTATTTTTATAGTATATCAGGTGGCACCTGATGTTGATTGTCTTATTCATGGCCACCTGGCTCATGTCAGTTTCTTCATTCTAAAGTTACTGCTCTTTTAAAAAGCAAGTTATTCTAAAGTCACTGTCTTTTTTTAACCTTTTGTATTAGTTTTTCATGGAAGATTCTTCAAGACCAAGATCCTGTTACTCATTAAACTTTTCCCTATGGGTCTTGGCATCCTTCGGATATTGTATCTTTCAAAACTGAGCCACTACCATGGTGGCTATGAATTGTGATAGCTGATTCAAAGTAGCATTCACATACCCCTTCTTGCTTAGAATGTTTTGGTCAGTCTGGAGTGTGATGTTTTCTTTTGCATTGCAGTTAGTCTTTTCAGAGAATTTGCACAGGTTCATAAATGAATCATTTTATTTTCCATTGTATAGCCATGATCTAAACTGTTCTCACATTCCTTTGTAAGTTCTTCTCCCAGGAACAATCCTTTCATCAAAGACTACCATCTCAGGCCATTGCATTTAGAGGTCCTTTCTGGAGTGTCTGACCTCTCCTTTTGTTATGCACAGATAAGGGGTTTTCTTTCTGAAGTAGTAATTTTTGGATCAAGCGTTGCCTCATGGCTAGCTGCTGTCTTTGTCTTCCAAGAAGTTTTTCCTGGACTCCCTTGTTTTAAACACACACACAAGCACACACACAAGGAACACAGTAGCAGATAATGCTAGTGATTGTTTTCTACTTGCAGTTAACTGGAAGTTTGGATATTGTCATCTAGTAGGTGTGGGCTTTTTGTAATACACATCTATTTAAAAATCAGTGAAGCTTCGCATTTCTAGAGGTTTGGAAAAGGGAGATTGGGAAGGTTAAAAGGAATGGGGAGTATCTTAACGAGTGAATGGAGATTTTATACTCTCTCATATCTTTGGTTTCAGTTTGTCTGCATGATGTTTGCTTCATTCTTCCTAATAAAAATATCATGTTAAGTTTTTAAAGCACAATGAGTGAAGCTGTGATCTTTGGACTCACAGGTCTTGGGTGAGAATACGGTGTCACTACTTATATATTACTTGAAACTGTTGCTGTGTGCAGATGAAATCCGAGCTTACCAGGTGACATTAAGATGAGGTAAGGTTCCTCACATAAAACTCTTCCAAAGCCCTCAATTCTCATGATCACTTTTTATTATTTAAAAGTCATTAATGGTTAAGCTATATCACCTAATAAGGTGGATTATGACTTTGTTCCTCTCCCACTGTGACTTTGATGTTTTAACAGTAACCCTAATGAAGACTCAGAATTAGTACTTACTAAATCTGCACGCTAAGCGAGAGTTAGGTAGGATTATGGATAAGATGACAAACTCTTGTCTATATTTTCTTCATATTCTCAAATATATGTTGTAGGATTTTTTTTCCATTTGTAATCTCACTTACCACAGTCTACCTTGGATGAATATTTATTATGTACTTTATCCTTCATTGACTCATGAAATTTTTCAGAACTTCATTTGGTTAGGAAAATCAGGCCAGAAATCAGTATTTTTCAGAGAATTAAAGTGGTGACTAGATGATCAGGTCTTGAAAGGAAGCAAAGTGAACTGAACTCTACACAGAATCACAAGGAAATATTTCGTGTATGCCTGAGTCAGAGACCTGCAACTCAGACCAGAAGCTTTTAGCTGCTATGTGTAAAAATGGACCAAAGAAAGACAGGAGAGGAAGTGGGAACCAGGTAGGTCAGCTAAGTCTGGGATGGTAACGGTGGGCCAAGGGCAGTGTGCGCATGGAGATGAGGATATTAGGCAGACTTGATTCTTCGACAGCTGGAACTGACAGATACTATGCAGGATTATAATTTGTTCAGTTGTTAAAAGTATGCTGATGGCTAGATGTCTGAAAGTTGGTGAAACCCTATGTTTAAGAATCTGGAGACATACTGGCATGCCATGAAGGAAACATATTGACATAAATGACATGCATGCCATGAAGGAGAAACACCTCTTCATGAGTTGACCAGATTTACAGACTGCTGGTGTGATTAAACACATGAAATAGAAGAAAAAGTAAATTACCTTCTTCTTCCGTGTCCCTTAACATAGTGTTCTCCCTTTTCTTCAGCTTCTTGGGGTGGGGTAGGGGAAGCTCATAGGCAAGACAAACTCAACATCTATGCTCTAGCGAAACAGTGACTTAAGTGATGAGTAAATGCATTATCTACTCCCTGGTCAAATGTTTTCCTGAGGATAACTATGGGCTGACCAAAAGGATGGTAGTGGTGTTGATGCAAACAGCTAAGTTAACTCTAAAATGTTTGTAAACTGGCCATCAGTAGTAGAATTAGTAGAGTTCTGACAGAGATATGACTCTAAATTGGCTCATAATTTTAAAAAATAGCTGTTTGCTCATCACCCACATGACAAGCAAAGGCTTACGTTCTATGAACAAGAATTTGCTAGAGAAAGTCTTGTCCTGTCTATAGGAGATGCAGGTGTTCTTTCCTGAGCTGACCACAGGGATGCTGTGCAGTTCATTGCACTGTGTTCCTGCTCTGCCCCTTGGGTTCACACGAGTGAAAGGACTTTCACCACCCACCCCAGTATCTCTAATGGAATACATTGATTTCTTTCTATTCCTTTGTATTATTTTGTTTAAATAGTTACCATGTTTTGGATCTAGACAACAAATAAAATATTCCTGCAATTGTGCCCAGAGTCTGTGAAGCAGAACAACTTCTACAAAGGTCCACAAGCAGTGATTTCAGAGACCTCGGCAGCAGGAGCCACCAGCAGTCTGCACAAGAAGCACCACACTTTGGGCCCTGACACTGAATCTTTCTAGGTATTAGCTTTGGATCAGGAAGAATATTGTTTTCTAAAAGCCTTCAACTTCTAGGGCTGAAGAGATCTTTAGGAAATCAAGCTTCTTTGGAAATGAAATCACAAAGCTTAGTGGGTATTACTTAGGTGGTATCTCAAGAAATACTTGTCCAAAACATCTTAGCAAAAACCTAAGGAAGAAACTCTTCATTGTGTTGGAAATACACACGGGAGGAAGCTCTATAGGCCAATGTGCTCTTGCCTGACCTCCCAGCAATATTGATCTAACTGTCTCCCTAGGTCTAATCCCTCTCTGGTAAAACTCCAGGAAACACCCCCTAGGCCCTGCTCCTCCCTGCTTCATATGCCTGGGGAAATCACAGCGGGACAATTGGGAATTGTTTCTGCCTCCAACTAGTGCTTCTGAATCTCACTTACTGTTGCAACCAGAAAAGGAGACCTTAAGCCTCACTTCCCAGGGCCAAGGGCAGGGCTGCTCCTTGATTTGGCAATGCCCCTTTTACTACCATTGCTTTTCTGAGAAGCCTCTGCGCAACCGCAGAGAGACAAGTGCAGGTTCAGGCAGAGCTAGTTTATTGCTGGCATGTGCTAGTGAGCAGCTCCTGCAGCACAATCAGCAGAGACAGGAAGGGAACCTCTTCCCCATCAGCACAAATGTACAGGCAGAGAGCCCTTATCCAGTGCTTGAGGCTGTCAGCTGTCACTCATGTAGACAAACCTGAAATAGCCCTCACACAGATGGCTGCCCTGAGTCTCCCAGCTCAGCCTACACCTTTTCCTGGGGGAACCTGCTCACAAAGATCCCAGGGTGCCCTGTGCATCATCTTTTTATCCTCTTTTTTGCATCTGTCTGTAGGATGCAAGGATGCTCCAAAGACCAGTCAGGGTTTGGAAAAGTGGTGGATGCTGATCAAATCCTTGCAGTTGCCAATGGGGAATGAATAGGGCATCTAGAGAGTTTTTCTTTTCAAATTAGATTATATTTCACAGATCAATTGCTGCTTCTTCATTTAATCTTCTTGGTGATAGCAAGCTAGAGAAAAAAGCAGAAAAGTTTCTCGAGACCTGCCCTATTTTTCCCTCCTTCAGATTGCTCCCAACACACACTGGAATTGCGTGGAGCTCCTTATTCTGGTTTCTCCCACTTCTTTCTGCCATGTCAGGTCCCATAGGCACATAAGGACAGAGGACTGGCCATGGCTGGCTGGGCTTACATCCTATATCCTGTGTCCTATGTCCTATGCCCCATGTCCTGATTGTCTGTGTCCAAGTGCTGACTGCAGAAAGTGAAGCTGCCAATCTCCTGTCAATTCCAGTTAGCTGGGGCTGGCTGCAGCCTGTTCCGATGCTGGCTCACATTATTAGCCTTGGGCTGCCTGGAGTGTGGCACCTGGGCCACAGTGGACACTGGCAGCCCAAGAGCCAGGGCAAGCACCCCACTGACTGTTCGCAGACTTACTGCACCTGCACACAGACAAGTGTGTGGGCAGGCGAGTGGGTTCCACCTGCAGGCAGAGGCCCCTTCCTAGCTTCCTGGGAAGCCATGCAGGGAATCTGAATATCTACTCCAGACTTAGCAGCAATCCCAACCCAGCAACTGGAAGAACATCAAGCTCTTTCTGTTTATATTTCAAGATTTTCTCCTAGAGGTATTTTGTAGTTTAATGGGCTAGGCAACCTGAGGAGAGAGTTAAATGTGTTCATACGGTATTTCCATGGTACAAATACATGAGTGCACTTGGCTTGGTTTTGAGGATGTATTATTTTTTTGAAATAGATCAAATTGATTTCCTTTTCTTTGCACCTTTTTCTTGACAGGAATCTTGCCACAACAAATCCAAAATGCCATCAAAAGTAACCTCTCTTGGTTTTGCATGGCAGGGACACAACATTGCAGATCAGCTAAGTGCTCCTGGAGCTGTGGGATTGGACTCAGTGAGGAAATGAAAAATGGAGGAGACTTTTTCCAGGGGACTCAACATGACCAACTCACAGGGCACATTTCTTCAAGGGTTGCACCCCAGTAAAGCCAGTCACAGCCACTTTGAGACAAAAGGGTCCCACAGTTCTGTGACACCATCCTGACAGGATGTTTGAGGACCTGCAGTGTCATATCCAATGCTCATCAAGTAACAGGCTCTGGGTCATGTGTTCCTCAGAAACTCACACAGCCTAGTCCTTGCAGAAGACAACTGAGCCAGTATCTTGCTGTCTTGGTCTACTTAAGACAAGGGGTTCAGTGACCCTCAGCTATAATACTTGTGCTTTTCAGAGTGAGAAGAAGGGGAGAAGGGAGAGAGATCAGTAGATTTTTTTTCACCTTTCTTATGCTGCTAATTCATTATGACCAGACAACTTCTGTGTCAAAAGAACAAAACACCATGTGTGTCAGGGGCCAATGCCACTAAAAGATTTCCCCTGCCGGCATTTCTCTAATAGTGGGGATATGAGGAAGCTGCAAGGAAGCATTGGTAGGCCACCTTCTATCCCCTGCCAATCCAGGCTGTGTTGCTGCTGAATGTAGGCTCTGAGAAGGATGGATTCTCCATGTTCACTGTGCCTAAATTGGCTGTCATTCTAGATGCTGGGCTGAGCCAAGGTGTGTTTCAGCAAAGTAACCCCCAGATACCACCTCAAAGCAAGTTTGTTTTCTCCCCAGGCAGGAGCTGTGTCTTACTCATCTTCCTGCCCTTTGTCTTGTGCACACATCATTCCCAGCATGTAGGAAACCCTCAGTAAATGATTGTAGAACCAACATTTTGGAACTTGCAATTGAGAGCCATTATGACACAGCCACTAAACACATTGCAAATATCCAGGCACACTGTAGATGGAATGTTGTCCTTGTTCCGTAACTCTGTATTGCCTCTGTAGCCTGATACACTTGTGTCCATCTGCTTTTCTAAATTTTCCACTTAGCTTTGAAATTCAACTTTAAAAAAAGAGTTAGTTACTAAAGTATCACTTCTCCTGTTTTTTGGAAGACGGAATGTGAGAGCCAGCCTTGCTAACTTAGTGAAAGATCCTGTCTTGAAATAATGTTTAAAAAGGGCTGGGGGTGCAGATCAGTGGTAGAGAACTTGCCTGGCATGTGTGAGACTCTAGCTTCCATCTACACTACAGCAACAAAAAGGACAACAATGACAATGACAACAACAACAACAACAACAACAACAAGCTTGGATTTCATAATCACTTTCAATATCACTTGCCCAAATCTAAGAGGGCAGAGGCACCTGGAGACAGCCCCTGTCACTATAGGTGTGTCCTGCTGTTTGTCTGGATGTGCCCCTTAGCGAGGCAACCATGCTCGATTTTGTGCTGAACAGAAACTTTAAAAGAGCCGGTACTATAAAATTCTAGTTTAGAGGGGGAAAAATTGACAACATAAAGGAAGATCTGATAGAGTATGATGCTCTGTCACTCATGAGAAACGGTGGTCCATTTAACACTTTCCACCTTTATCAAGACTCGCTGTGCCACTTGTGTTTGGCCGGACAATGGCTGAATCTGGAGCCCTGTATATTTACATGTGTGTGCAGGAGGGTCATGGTGTGTGTGAGGACAGAGGCAAGGTGTGTACTAACACACTGCAGGTCTGGTTGTCTTGGACCTTTCATAATAAGCGGACATTCCCATAGTTTGAGATCAGTTGAGTTTTTCCAATAATGTTACTCTCCCAGGAAAGAAAAACAAGGGGCCTCAGGACCATGAGGGTTAATCTGATCATTCCTTTGAAAGAAAGTTTTATGAAATTTTTTATATTCTTCTTCTTTAAGCCTCGTACCTTCTATCTTATGAGATATTCTCTGCCTGAGGGGGCTTGGTGAGCTGATGAAGGCCAGGGATGCACGTCATGGCCGTGGCATGGCCTCTGGCATTTCTTTTATGACAATATCCTTCCAGCAATCTGAGCTGGCATGGTGTGAAAGCATGGTTTCAAATTCTGCCCTTGAAACATGGATTAAGCAATGTTGCTAATACGTATTTGTCCCTGCGCTGTCAAACATTTCACTGATTCTAGAATCTGCAGACAGCTTAATAGCCAGGTCCTCTGTCAATGTTACTGCAGCTATGTCTCCCTTGCTTTAAGATGCCATTTAGATTTATTGGAGCAATAGGGGTAGAATGATACCTAGTTAAGAAGAGCACCTGGTTATGTATATATCATCACCACTCACTGACATCCATACTGACCATGTGAAATGGACAGAATTTCTCTCCAACAGCTCCAGCCTTGGTGTGGGAGGTGGCAGCAACTAGTATTTGCTCAGTTCCCCAGTGCACTGAGTGCACAGAGCTGAAGGGATATGGGGATCCTGCTACCTTTAAGAACTGGGCCTCAGCTGACATCTGACCTTCCTCCCTCCCTTCCTCCCTTCCTTCCTTCCTCCCTCCCTCTCTTCCCCACTTCCTTCCTTCCTTTCTCTCATTCTCTCCATACATATATAATAGCTTTTCCCAATGCAACATCTCTAGAATACTGTTGGATACTTTTGTATGTTTTTCTAAGATTTTCTGTCATTTTCATTTTCTCTAATTTTAGATTCAGTTTGGATAACAGAATTAGATTCAGACCATAATAAATAGATAATTAAACATTTTTTTTTCTATTTATGGCACTGTACTTCAAGAGAATATTTCCAAACCTTTTAATTCAACCATGACAGAAACTACAGTTTTGATGAAATGGTTTTAAGATTAAGAGATTCGTGTCTGGCTCTACATTCCTGCTGTCAGTGGCTGTGTGGCTTTCCTCGGCAATGTGAGGGGACCACATGCTGGGCCTTCTTCCCATTAGTTTCCATAACACAATTGTTTGTAATTATTAATTGAATGAAAAAAGGATGAATGCATATATATTTATGTCAATCATCAATTCACACATGCATTTGCTAAATATGCAAATATAGGTAATTCCAAACATATACATTTTACTTATGTTCTTATAAATATATAGATAGGAATATTTCACATACTTTACATATTTCATATATAAGAGCCCTTTTAAAAATAGTAAAAGACAAACATATTCTTTACCTAACAGACATTTCCTCTTGTTCCTTCCTAATAGAAGCTGTTAAGGTTCTGTTATCCAAACTGAATCTAAAATTCTCCTCCAGCCCTAGGGCCTACACTTTAATTAATCTGAAGCAATCATGAGAATTCCACCTGCCTTGTCATGAGAGATGGAAGGATACACCTCTGTCCTGCGAGCCGTGTGGAGATCCTCCAGGCTAGGCTTCTACAATAGTCATTTTAGCATTCATGTAAAAGCAAACCTGAATAAAGGTAACAAGGTAGCACATGACAAAAATTATGTGTGTGGACCAACTATGACTCTAACTAATTGCTGGTGAATGAGTGAATGACAGTACTACTCTGGATCTGTGAGACTGACATTTGCTCATGAAATTACCATATGATCCAGCAATTCTATTAGCAGTAATATACATAGGGAAATGAAAACATGTGACTACACAAAGACTTGTGCACCTGCATGTGAAGGTTTATAGGCTTTTTCAGCATAGCAGCCCCAAACTGGAAATGGTCCATGTGTCCTCATCAGGTGAACTGGTGCAGAACACTACAGAGCAAAAAAAGGCAATGGAAATCCATTGATGCAGCCATAAGGTTGCATCTCCAACCTGCTATTCTGAGCAAACAGGCCAGGTCAAGGGGTGTATACTGCATGAGTCCATTTACAGGGAACTCCATAAATAATCCTTGGCTTTCTAGCATCAGAGTTGGAAAGGGGTGGGTTTAAGTGTTTAAAGGGTTTTTATAGTGATGGAAATAGTCTCATTGTGGAGGTGGATTATAAGAGTGTAACTACTATTGTCCAAACTCACCAAACTATACACATAACATTAATGTTATGATGTGTTCAATTACTCCTCAGTAGAGCAACTTTAGAAAAGAAATCAGAGAAACCATGCCTTGTACTGGCTGAAGACGTTGTGGGTTCAACTGGTATGCAGAGTATCTGTGGTCAGCTGATATTAGCGTAGCTGGCTGAGGGCACATTTTATGAAGTGGAGAGAAACTGATCTTAGGGATCTCTTCAAGTCATGAACTTCCTAATGCTGCAGCTAGTGCCTGGTTATTTGCAGACAAGTTTTACTTGTTATTTTATCCAATATTCTTGAAGTTTAAAAGTTTTTCTTTTTTCAGGGACAAGGGGAAAAAATGAGAACCAAGATCTGTCATGTAAAGGTACAAGATTCCAATAATGAATGTAACTGTACTGTATACCTAAAATGTACCAATAAACTCAATTAAATTTTTTTCTTTTTTATTTATTATGACCCAAATCCCCATGCAGACCACATCTACATTACTGAACTTATTCCACCCAATGGCCCTAAGGAGAGGAGTGGGCAGTTATAATAGTTTTACTTTCAGAGATGGCACATCTTTGGAGAAAAGAGTAGGGACTTTGGCTGTGCTGTGGAGCTAGGCTGTAGAGTGCTGGGACCTAGCTTTGTGATTTGCAAAGTTACTCTCCTTCTAGGTATGCTGGACAGTTCTCTCAGTGCCCAGAGATGGTCTGTTGTCTTTTCGCTTCTTTTGTCTACATTTATATTTCTTGTTGGTGAATTATTGCTGTCTCATGATCTTAGTGTTGGAAAGATTCTGACAACTCCTTGTTCCGGCTCCTTTTATGAAATGAGCATTAGGAGCGCCCAGGTGACAGCTGAGACCTGGCTCACACATGGGTGCTGCATTTCTTCATGGGAGAGGGGTGAGGCAAACCCTATCCCCAACTCTTATCAACCATTTGGCTGCCAAAACTGAGGACAGGCTCAAAACACCAACTCTTGAAAGGGTATCCCTAGCCCACTGCATGACTGGGTCTCCTTACTTCAAACAACCAAGTGAGCATTTAATACATTTTAATTAAGTTGAATTAAATTAAAATTTAAATGTGAATTTCTTGCCTCCAAATCTATGCTATTTTGAGTCTTCATTTATCTGTTAATCCCTCTATTAATTTAAACATGAATTAAGGCTTATTCAAGGACATTTTAATTTATGTGATA